GCTCCGCCCGGGGAGAAGGCGCCTTTCACCTTAGGCTGTGCCGTCTCCGGCCGGGTCAGGCGGCCCTGCGGAGCGGAGCGCCGGGTCCCCGCCGCCCTCCAGCCCTGTGATTACAGGGACTGCCTAGCTGCTGGGTCCTGGTGCTTCGGAGAGACTCCGACTTAGTCACAGATTTGCGGCAGAGGATGACAATGAGGCCCTGCTGCGGTTCCTGAGAGCCTCGTTGTGTGAGCTGACAGAGATTACAAGTCCCGACAGCCCCTCTCCCTGTTCTTATCTCTGTCAAAAATCACCTTCCAGTTTTACACACATGTATTGTTGCGTGTGGGACCACTATTTCTCTGCAGGTAACAAAGTGTAATGTAGTTTGCCACTTGTTATTAACTTGTTACTATTTTTTATCGTCCATTCACAGAAAGAACAGTACTACTCTGAGCAACACTCTTCCTTGATTAACAAGGCCTACCAAACCCTCCTGAACCCTCTGAGCCGTGGCCTCTATCTAGTAAGGTGTCCGTTACATCTTTTATCAGTACTCCTGTCACTAATCGTAGGTGGCTGGGGCTGCGGGTGGTGATGTAAAGAACCAGACCTTTGAGTCCATCATTAACATACTAATTTGTGTTCCTCTGAAAAAGAGGTTTACCAGGGATTGAAGGGAGACCAAAAACAAGCTTGTCTGAAAACTAACCGGCTTTTGGACTACTTTCTTTGACATTTCACTGATTATTACCATCTCATTTGCTGCTCATGTTACACTGATTTGTTTCGTGCATCACATGTTGTCTTTGGCCATGGCTGTTCCTTTGAGATGTCAGTCTGGCCCTTGGCAGCCTTCGTTATGTTTTTTGCTTTGGTTAACTGCTGATTTTTATGGTCTACCTATGGAGTCAATTTTAAGACTGGCTCTGTTCATGCACGTTTCATGGAATAAAACAGAAGCTTATCAGATGAATCTGAGTGAGGCCTACTAAAAAACTTCATAGTCAAGAAAATAATTCACACTGAAATAGACGCAAGAATGTGTATTTCCAAATTCCCATTTTCTTCACCAGCTGGAGCTGAAAGGAGTAGAGCCGGCACAGGAGACAGACTCTGATGCAGACCCAGTGTTTCTCACAGAAATCATGGAAATGAATGAGAAATTAGCAGAGCCTAAAAATGAGGATATCCTTGAAGAAATTGAAACTTTAATTAAAGGTATGTTATGATTTGAGGGTTTTATACAGAATTAATTTACTGTATCTTGTATAACACAAGAGTCTCTGAAGGCTTTTTCAGTGTATTTCTTTTAGTATCTCCAACTTACATTCATCTTTAATTGACTGACTGCAAGAGCTTCCCCTCAAAAAACAATGTTGTCTTTACCAATTTATGCCACCTAAACATCAAATCTGGCTTAAGAAAATCTGTATAACAGTATCTATTCTGATAGCAAAATCAGTATATATGTTGACTATAAAAAGGAACTTCTTATTCAACCTTCAGCAGATTGGGGCAAGTAGACTGTTCTAAAAGAAAGAACCACTCAAAATGAAGTTTAATAAAATGCTTGAGTGACCACATTAAATAATTTCTTCATTTATATAGACAATGTATTTCTTTCACCTTCTTTACCTTAGCAACCATTATATTAAGTGATTATTACCCTTATACAAGCAACTTTTTTCTTTATATTGTTGGTGATACCCAGAACATTGCGTTTATTGGTATATTTAATTCTTTGCAATAACAGTAGTGTGCCAAAAGCAATTAGAATAACTAGAATAAAAACTAAGTAGAAGAAAACTAACTGCAGCAGAGTAAACTGATACACCAAAAGTAAATTAGATTTATGGGAAGTTAGTAACCATTGACTTGCATTGGAATTGCTGCCTGTAAACCTGTTTAAACAAAGAAATATATCTGTTTGAAATTATAATATTAAAAAAAAGACAGTAATATTATGGAAAGCTCTCTTAGCTCCCAAAGGCTATGAGACTCGTAATTAAGTTTCCCACCACAGACAATCAGAATGCAGTGGTATTAAATATACTAAGTGTGTAACAAAATGTGAATGAAATCATTTGTTTTACAGTTAAACAAGAAGAACTGACCAAAGAGGTGACTGCAGCTTTTGAAAGAGGTAGCTATTTCTATTAAGTATTTAGCTGCCATACATACCAGTTATAAGTGCTTAAAAATACCACATTCTCTTATTGGCAAATATTTCCTAAGTACAGAGCAGAAATACTGCATAAACAAGTGTTCTTTGTTTGGTAGTTAGACTAAGTACTTCTAAGCCGACCTTTCTGCTGATTGAGGAAATTCAGGACCTCACATTAAACTTCAAAAAAATCCAGTACAAAAGTTGCAGTTAGTTCAATTTGCATCGAAATGATTGCTTCAAGTGGGAATGCAGATGCTAAGAACTTGTTTATTTGTTTCCCAGAATATTGGGAAGGAGAGATTCCTTTCTTAATCAAACTTACCACCTATTCTGAGGTTTCAAACTTGAATTAAGGAGATTTTTCTCTGCAGACTTGAAGCTGTCACTAGAGTAGCGGGTACTGTTCTTTGCAGTGAACGTCAAGACAAGAAAAATTTTGCCACTTGCCACTGAAGCTGTGGGGCAAGAAAAGACCTGATGCCTTGTTCAGCCTCAGGTTGTCAAGACAAGAAAAATTTTGCCACTTGCCACTGAAGCTGTGGGGCAAGAAAAGACCTGATGCCTTGTTCAGCCTCAGGTTGTCAAGACAAGAAAAATTTTGCCACTTGCCACTGAAGCTGTGGGGCAAGAAAAGACCTGATGCCTTGTTCAGCCTCAGGTTCTAGGGACATCCTGCGCAATAATTAACATAACTTTATCACGCAACCAGTTGATAGGCAGTAGCTTGAACCATTCCAGACTAGCTTCTTACTCTTTGAAGAAACCTTTACATTTCTCTCTGGGTCTTGGAATGCTTTTATTATTAGGTTTATGTAGTAGTGTGTTGTAATTGTAAAACATCAAACGCAAAGTAGTGCTGGCTGGCCCTGCATGTGGAGAATTATAACCTTATAATCTGTCGCTTGTTGTACTGCGAGAGTTCAGGATTGTGTGGCACCTATCCTTGTCAGTAGGTGATAAACAACCTTTCCCCTCCAATTGTTTCATTAAGGAGAAACTGTTTCAATATCAGTTTTGGACTTGATGCTATCTGTACTGGAGTCCTACAAATCTTCTGCATTTTCCAGTGATGGCAGTTGGTCTAACTGCATGCATTTAAAAAAAAAAAAAATTGTCTATATACTTAAAATACCCCAGTGGCTACATCAATACTATGGCCACTTTACAGAAGTCATTAAAGGGTACTACTGTCACATGTCTTTTCTAAATGGTACATTTTTACATGTTTTGTGAAACACCTCAGTTGAGGTGGTTCACAAAACCATCCAAGATGAAAATAACAGGCAACATGGTTTTAATAGTGTATGGGTCCTTACAAATTGCAGTTCTTAGCACTGAAACGGGTGCTGTCATTGGAATCTTGAGATTCATTTTGAAAATGAAAATTCAGCCCTCCCTCTGTAAACTAGTAATCTTTTATTTCATTTCAGATGATCTTCAAGAAGCCAAGAAGCTTCTAGCCAAAATGAAGTATTTTGCAAACTTAGAGGATAAACTAAAGAACAAGAAGATCCCATCCTGATACTGGCTCCTTTCCCATTAAGAGTTAACATGTTTTCAATTAAACAGCTGATTTAGCTACCAAAATCAGAGAAATGGTGTTTGCTTCCTACGTTTTCATTAAAAGCTTTGATTCTGAGAGAAGGAAGATAAAACATAAATCTAGTGCTTACTGTAGCACTTATTAAATAACAGATGGAATCACGAGATGCTTACAACCAGGAAAATGAGTAATAGGTAAGGCACAACTACTGTCCTAGCAGTTACAGGTGTGGAAGGGAGTATCAGAGAGGCACATAAACACCATGTGTAATTAAGACTTCCTACTCTTTGACTACTAAAATATGAAGAATTTATTTTAAGTTGAGAAAGAGTCCTGGACGAAATGTTTGACACTGAGCAGAAAGCTCGTTCAATGGGTCCTTCAAGCTCTCTGTAGTCTCCTTGTGTGTGTTCTGTCAGACCATCTTGAAAAATCTTTAAAGGTGAAATGTATTTAATTCTGTCCTCTCTGCTATGTGGTGCTTTTTGTGACGTTCATCTCAGTCTGTTGGGAATTGGCCATGGTAACTAGAAGAGGTTCTACCCTGTTGCAGTTTAAAATTTTAAGATGCTAAGTTAGGGCAAAAAAATAAACCCAAACTCAAACCCCAGAAACTGTTTTATTAGTACCCTCTTAGAAAACAAGTCTTTCTAATAAACTTTCTTACATATAACAGTAATTCAGATAGTAATTCAGATGCTTTACTGTCTTTCTACAGTTACAGTAGTAGGACTAGATGAGGAATGTAAAATCTTTCAAAAAAGTTATTTAAGTGAAAAATGGCAACTAAATACCCCAATTTATATATAAACTAGAATATTTCAAATATTGGTTTCTCAGTAGGTCAGTTCTCATTTGGGTTTTAACAGCTCAGAGTATTTTATTCAGTAAAGCAGTAACATACACTTTACTACACGAATCTGAAGAAGGGACTTAGACATTAAAGAAGAGCTATTGAATTACCTGATGAAATCTGCCGGGGGCGGGGGGGGGAATTCATTGAACACCCTCTCCTGGCATTTCTGCATTCCTACAACATCAAGCTGTATCTAAGCATTGAGTCTTCTATGTATAATATAATATGTTGTTAATAGCATTTCAGCAATACATGTTTTGACAGCATTTCAGAAAGATTAACTTGCCTTTAATTAAACTTCCTCTGAATATACAGGAGGATTTAATAAGCTACTTGTTCACGGTATTATACTGCTAATATAGAAGACGCTGTTCATAATTCTCATTTAAGTTCTGTTACAGCTATGAAATTACACAAATCTTTTTTAAAATTCATCATGGAGTTGTCTTCTTTCATAAAGCTCTGTTTCCTTTTTTTTAGTATTTCTTCCAAAATTAAGCTTGTGAAATTCCTTTTCGATTTCCAGAAAAGATTTGTTTTTTGTCTCAGGAATTACGAGGAAGATGAAAGCAGCAACTAAGGAGCACTCCAGTAAGAACACCAGAAAACAATACTGCTTCAGTCCATTCTGAAAATAAAATTTACTTGATTGCAACATATTTCAAGTATAACAGTGGGTTTGGGAAAATAAAAAGCATTTTGTTCCCATTCACACCCAACATTGCTGCTCAGATATTTTTAATAAAAAGACGTTCAACCTATCCTTGCTTTACATGTAACTTTTTTAAACTTTTTTTTTAGCTAAAAGACTACCAAATGCTGCGCAATACACTTATTTGTCTTTTATTATTAAAAAAAAAAACAAAAACAAAACCCAACTGTTTAAACACACACTAAACAATTCATAATGTAATGACAAAATGACAAGTCAGCATTTGGTATTTAGCTGTCTCATATTTTAAGATTATACGATTTATCTTTTTCTGAACGTTTCTTAATATTTTTCAATGCTATACATTAAAAAATCCAACTATCTTATTGAGAAGCAGAGTTCAACCAAACCAAGTCAAATCAGGATACCCTGTTGCGTGCTGTTCCTGCATGTTTTGCTCTCTAGAATAAGTGCTAAAACTGAAAATACAGAGCTAGAAATGAAAGCTTATATTGTTTTTCCTCATAATCTTCCTGATCCCAGAATCCTCTGTATGTAAGTTTAGTGAGCTCCCAGAGATGTGAACCACTAGCCCCAGGTACTAGTTCTACTTTACTTTGACATAAAAGCACAAGGCACTATTAAGAAATACGTTATTTGAATCTCAATATCTGATTAAGTTTTTCTAGTTTTGATATGGTCTCTGGTTTTTTAATCTGAACATGAAAATTACCCCCATGCATTCCTTTTAATTTTCATTCATCATGTTTTGTATTTTCTGTTGATACCTAAAAAATATTTTAAGGGGACTAGTTATACTCGGTTGATGGGTAGTATGCCTGCTATGTTTAAGTGTTACTGTATAAGAAAAAGCAATTTGCTGGAACCTGAGAGAAGATTAAATGGGAGGTGAGGCAATTAGGAAAACATGTTATGCATACTTACCACTATGAAGGCAAAGAGCCTCCCAGTTGTGAAGAAACTAATCCAACTGATAGTCCCTGCTATCATGTAAGCAGCAGGACGTGAAGACTGTATAAATAATTCAGCTGTCAGGGTATTTGTTATGCCACCTGGGGAAACGAGTTTCAGAAACAGGAGTTATTATGCTAAATGTCCATTTGTGGCTATTTCCAATGCCACAAAAATTGAGTTGCTCAGTTTCAGGCTATGGGAGACTAAACTGTTCTGATGGGGCGGGCTCACTTGTGTTCCTCAGCCAGGGCATTCACAGCCTCAGTCAGTACTTACTGCCTGGCAGAGCGGAGCTGCTGACACTCCCCCCGGCTCCACACACACGTTTCACCGCTTTAAAACATTCATCACTGTGAAATACCTGGTCCCAACCCAAAGCTCAAGATGAAGGCAAGTATAGATGTCATGCTCACATAAGGCACCCACGAGTACAGGTCCTGGAACAAGAGAATGAGAAGGTTTAGTTCAGGTTTTGATAATGCAGTTTGAAAGTTTGGCTTAACAGTTACACTTCCTTTTGCCATTTTATTGCAACTAAGACCAACAGCCGTTCATGGCTGTTTACAGCTAATTTCTTTAACAGTACTGCTTCAGAGAAATTAAATATTGTTCATTTAATAATTTTTACTAAATGGAGTCTAGTACTTCTGTCAAGATTTATAATTAGTCCTCCGAGGCTAAAAATTTACACCAATATGGAACATAAGAATTACATGTTGTTACTAATTTAATATTTTGTCAGTGTTTATGTTGGTATTTTATGCTGATCCCATGAGTTAGCTGTCACTCAGCACTTTCATAGCACAAACAGACTTCTCATCACATTATTTATGTATACGTAAATTTCAACAGCACAGTAAAGAAACACTAGGATTACTATATACATGTGAAACTAGCTGCATTGGAAAGACCAAACCCAAGCATGAAATCCCGTTATTCAAAAGCAAACCAAGAAATGTACGAAAGTTCCAATAAAATAGTTAAACCTAGGCCACTGCCTAACGGCTGGCTCATTCAGCGTTTTGCCTGGCCCAGCAGCTTACGCTGCTCCAACCGCACAGAAATTGCTGTAGGCACCTCTTTGGTGGCCCGCCTGCCAGGCTGCGCCGCCCCACACCGCTATCCCTCCAAACGTCCCATCTGCAGCGTGACTGCGCCTCACCCCCCCGTGCACAGCCAGCACCAAACGCCAAACGCCGGTGGTGGGGACAGGGAAAGAACTGCAGCTCTGAAATCCTGCCTTCGTGAGATACAGATTTATCAGGCAAAAAAATACTGACTAAATGGAGTTGCTCGCTGTTGGAGCTACAGCTGCATCGCCTTGCTTGGATCACCTGAAGTTAACGGTAAATGTTTAGTGCAGTACCGTCTGCAAGTGTAGAGAGAGATTTCCTCCAAACGGCCATTTCAGGAGGTTTGTGGGGCTGCCTTATTGGAGCTGATACAGCATACAGAACAATTTACGATGCATCTCTATATGCTACACCCAAAAGCGAGACAGGATGTTGCCTTTGCATGATACACTTAAGGCACTCAGTATCTCTAGTGAGTTTCCAATAGTTTTTGTGAATTTACACTTAATGGATTTAAGTGTCTTTTGAATTTCAGCATCCTTACAATATTTTTGTTTGATTGTTTGCTTTACAATTAAGTGACCGAAGTGGACTCTAATGCTTGAGATCATCACTATGTAGTATTTCATCCTAAAATTACTTTAAAAGCTAGAATAAATGCTGTTTTGTCATCACTTAGTTTTGTCAGCCTTAAATGCAGCCGCAGATTTAAGATAAATACATGACCAAATCTTAGCTGACACCACTCTCTTATTTTAGGGAAACACGGCTGCAGAAATCTTTCAACTGCTGTGATTTTTTATGCTGCTGTTTAAACCTATGCAGCTCTTATCTTCCACCTTCTTTTGAGTGTCACAGATTTTCACTCACTACAATCATATCATGTAATATAAATGAGTCCTTCTCTACACCTGGTAAGTCAGAGAGAACGTTAAAACAATGCTCCAAAGGCCCATAAAGAGATAACCCCCAATGATGAGACATCTTCTTCCCACGTAGTCTATCAGTAAACCCTGTGGACAAGACATAATCTTCTGTTACAATATTGATCTCATATTTACCAATGTTATTCTTCAAGAAGAATCGTTACTCGTTATGCTAGGATGTAGAGTAAGTTGTTACTTACACAGGTGAGGGCTGTGAGGCATTCACAAGCTCCAGTGCCCAGTGTCACATACGGGATTTTTTCTGCTGAGATCCCAGCTTGTTTAAAAATGTAAGTTGCATAGAAATAAATCTACAACAGAAAAAAGAAAATAATGGGGCATTCGCAATAGTTAAACTGTCAGCTGCAAACAAAGTCAAGTTCATACTAAACACACAGGTCACTGTATTTTATATTATGAGTTACTAATTTGATGTAAACAGCAAGAAGAATCTGTTAAATTCATGTCTAGGTAAATATATTGCTATCATAAAAGCAAATGTAATTATTCAGCTTGCTGAATATACTCCTTCAGATTCTTAAACCAGACACAATGGGATAAG